GTGGGTAAAATGAGGACCCAGATTGTTGGGGGCAATATGCTGACTCTCTGTAAACCGCTTAGAGAGGGCTGAAAGCCCTATGAAGCGGTATATAAGTCCACTGCTATTGCTATTGCTATTGCTAACTGCAAGAGGGGATCTTGGAGTCCTAGTGGACGATCCCTTAAGCATGAGCCTCGCTTGGAATACGGCATCCAATTTCGGTCACCGCTTTATTAAAAAAAAGACGTGGAGACTCCGGGAAGAAAGAAGAGAAGAGCAACCGAGACGATTAGGGGGCTGGAGGCTAAAACATACGAAGAACGGTTGGTGGAATTGGATGAGAAGCGAAGCCTCTTCCAAGCAAAGGAAAAGGAAAGGAGGGAAGAAGAAAGCAAAGGAGGAGGAGGTGGGAGGAGAAAGAGAAGGGAAAAAGGGAAGGAGGAGAAGAAAGGTATAAGGGGAAGAGGAGGTGGTAGGCAGTGCCTTATCACTTTCCAGAAGATTGGGTGGCATTGATTTCGGACTCCTGGCTTTATTTTTTTTAATGTCAGGATACCTTTGAACCATCTCTGATGCTCATCCTGGGCAGGATGGTCCAAGATGCTAGTCCCTTCTGTTTGCTATCCCTCCACCCATCCCGAAGACCAGCCTCCTCCAAGCTGAAGCCCACAAAATGGCTGGAATTCAACTCCCAGAAATCTCCACTCAGGAAACACACACACACACACAGAGAGAGAGAACGAGAGAGATGAGAGATAAGAGAGAGAGAGAGAGAAAGAGAGAAGAGAGAGGTGATAGATTATAGTGAGGGGGGAGATGATAGATGAGAGAAAGAGTGAAAGAGAGATAAGAGAGGGAGAGAGAGAGAAAGAGAGAGAAAGAGATGAGAGATGAGAGAAAGAGAGAAGAGATAGATGATAGATGAGAGAAAGATAGATGAGAGAGAGGGAGGAAGAGAGAGAGAGAGAGAAAGAGAGAAGAGAGAGGTGATAGATTATAGTGAGAGGGGGATGATAGATGAGAGAAAGAGTGAAAGAGAGATAAGAGAGGGAGAGGGAGAGAAAGAGAGAGAAAGAGATGAGAGATGAGAGAAAGAGAGAAAGAAAGGAGAGATGATGGATGATAGAGAGTGAGAGAGAGAGAGAGAAGGGAGAGGTGATAGATTGTAGTGCGGGGGGGGAGATGATAGATGAGAGAAAGAGAGAGAGAGATAAGAGAGGGAGAGAGAGAAAGAGAGAGAAAGATGATAGATGATAGAGAGGGAGAGAGGGAGAACAAGAGGGAAAGAGATGAGATGAGAGAAAGAAGAGAGAGATGATAGATGAGAGAGAGTGAGAGAGAGTGAAAAAGAGATGAGAGAAAGAGAACAGAAAGAGATGAGAGATGAGAGAGAAAGAAGAGAGAGAGATGATAGAGAGTGTGTGTGAGAGAGAAATGATAGATTATAGTGAAAGTGGGGGGAGATGATAGATGAGAGAAAGATAGATGAGAGAGAGGGAGGAAGAGAGAGAGAGGGAGGGAGGGAGAGAGAGAGGGAGGGAGAGAGAGAGAGAGAGGCCTTTAAACCAATTTTAAAGCAAAAACAGGACCGGAAGCAGCCACTCTTCACCCCTCTCCTTCTGTCCTTCTGCTGTTCTTCAGTTTAGCTGGCTTGGAAGAGGCCAGACCCTCCCTCCCACGCACCCACCCCACCCCTCCTTCCTGGCATTCCTACAGGCTTTGATCCCAAAGTTTGAATCATCATCCCATCACCCCCAGACCAACATTCCCTTTCTTTGACTCAGCACCAAACGGAATGAAGATGAGTTTATTGGACCTGCCAGAGTGGCTGAAGGAACGCAGGCACGAGGGGCGGGTGTGTGTGTGTGTGGCAGCTACCCACCAACCCACCCACCCACCCATCCTTGCCTGCAGACAATGCAACCATGTGGGGTCATTGCTTTTGGGGAGGGAGATTCCACCTATTCTGCAAAGCACCTGAACACAGAAGAAAAAACTAACCGAGGAGAGAAACAATTTGGGACTAAGGAAGAATTTCCTGACAGTGAGAACAATTAATCCGTGGAATAAATTGCCTCCAGAAGCTGTAAATGCTCCAACACTGGGAAGCTTTGAAGAAGAGATAACGGATAACCATTTGTCTGGAATGGTGTAGGGTTTCCTGCTTGAGCAGGGGGCTGGACTAGAAGACCTCCAAGGTCCCTTCCAACTCAGTTATTCTGTTACTCTGCTCCTACTTTGTCGCAAGACTAGCATTCAAGACCCCTATCTGAGGTCTGCCCAATTCTTTTAACTTTTTGCAGATGGATGGGGCTTGACCGTAAGGAAGTGAGGTACCCCAGACCAGCTCCTGTCTTGGGTTCCAATTCCGCAGGAAGGTCATAGGGCGTGGGAATGTGAAGAGCCACTGACCCAACCCCTGGATTTGATTCATTGTTTGGACTTCTGGAGGAACCAGCCACAGGGTGAGGACTGGAGGGAAGGGAAGTCTGGGCCTAGAATCCTAACGCTTATAGGCAGTTGGAGTGGGGAATACCCCCATTTTTCCACGTTTCCTGCTTTCTCCCCTCTGATATTCGAGGGGCTGCCCCAAAGAAGAGAGGAGGCCAAGCTATTCTCCAAAGCTCCTGAAGGCAGAACAAGAAGCAACGGATGGAAGCTAATCCAGGAGAAAAGGAACTTAGAACTAAGGAGAAATTTAACTATTTTGGGGTTTGCGGAAATACCACCTCAAGAAAATAAAAGAGAAAGAGGTGGAAGAGAGACCTACAAAAATAGAAAAAGAGAGGAGGAAAGAGAAAATAAAGTGGTGTTACAACAGGTGCTAAGGATGGTAAACAAAGCAACTCAAACTGTACATTATAACCTTTTAAATGGAATAACAAAAGTATAAGAATGGCAAAGAAAAAGAATAACCATGTGAATGTATACCTAGAATTTTATTTTCTTGAGGTGGTATTTCCGCAAACCCCAAAATAGTTAAATTTCTCCTTAGTTCTA